GTGTGTTTGTGGTTGTGTGTTTGTGGTTGTGTGTTTGTGGTTGTGTGCTTGTGTTTGTGGTTGTGTGCTTGTGTTTGTGGTTGTGTGCTTGTGGTTGCGTTTTTGTGGTTGCGTGTTTGTGGTTGTGTGTTTGTGGTGTGTTTGTGGTTGTGTGGTTGAGGTCCGGCAGGGAACACTGGGCGTGGATGATCGTGGTTGAGGTCCAGCGGAGGTGAAGGAGGAGGAGAAGAAGGAGGAGGAGATGGGGCTGACTGACGTAAAATCTAACAACCCTAACCTGACAGGTGGGGAAAACATAAGGCTGCGAAGCCAGTAAAACCAAAAAAACATAAGGCTGGGAAGCCAGTAAAACAACAAAACATAAGGCTGGGAAGCCAGTAAAACAAGAAAACATAAGGGAAGCCAGTAAAAGAAAAGACATAAGGCTGGGAAGCCAGAAAAAAAAACACATAAGGACTGGGAAGCCAGTAAAACAAGAAACATTCGGCTGGGGAGCCAGCCAAAAAATAAAAGGCTGGGAAGCCAGTAAAACAAAAAACATAAGGCTGGGAAGCCAGTAAAGCCAAAAAACGTAAGGTTGGGAAGCCAGTAGAACAAAAAAAGCACTTGATGGCTTCAACAAAAAAGCCAAAAGGGAAGCCAGTAAAACAAAAAACTTAAGGGAGGCCAGTACAACAAACAAAATGAGGGTGGGAAGCCAGTAAAACAAAAAATACATATGGCTGGGAAGCCAGTAAAACAACAAAACATAAGGCTTGGAAAACAGTAAAACCAAAAACATAAGGCTGGGAAGCCAGTAAAAGAAAAAACTTAAGGCTGGGAAGCCAGAAAAAAACAACACATAAGGCTGGGAAGCCAGCAAAACAAAAAAACATACGGCTGGGAAGCCAGTAAAGCAAAAAAACGTAAGGCTGGGAGGCCAGTAGAACAAAAAAGGCATTTGATGGCTTCAACAAGAAGGCATAAGGGAAGCCAGTAAAAAAAAAAAAACTTAAGGGAGGCCAGTACAACAAAAAAACATATGGCAGGGAAGCCAGTAAAACAAAAAGCATTAGGCTTGGAAGACAGTAAAACAAAAAAACATAAGGCTGGGAAGCCAGTAAAAGAAAACACATAAGGCTGGGAAGCCAGAAAAAAATACAAAACACATAAGGCTGGGAAGCCAGAAAAATGATAATCCAACAGGCTGGGAAGCCATCCAAGACCATTCTTGCAACCCAAATACCTTGAAATTCGATCCAGATAGAATGAATTTAACTTGTTTGCTTTGGGTTAAATAAATTGTTGCTTTTCATGGAGTCCAACTTTTAATAGGTGATGTCCCCTCCACAGGCCGTTGGTGCCTTTCATTCTGTCTTCATTATTCTTGGCCACCATCTTGCTGACTCAGGTGCAAAAGAGCAGATTGGTCCTTTGGCACGAAGGTGATGGTGCTTCAAAGAGGCGCTCCCACACCATGGTGGACTTGAGCCACCATGGTGGCAAATGACCAGCTCTCTGTCACAGGTTGTCACCTGCAAGCTGGCAGAGATAAAGAAGCTGGCAGCAAAGCAGATTGCTTTGATGTACCTTCAACGAGAACGAGCAGGCTGGCTTGAGTTTCAATGCGCGTGTTTATTGCCTACGCTCATCCTTCTGAGATGGATCCGGACTCCAACAGCAAGTCATTTGCAGAACTTCAAAGAGGGGGGGACGCTCTTGGGGGACTGAAACTAGCACTGCACTGCTTCCATTACGCTGAGACTGTCAAAACAGTGAAGAATGCGTTTGTCTGGCGATGGACTCAGCACAAGCAGTTCTTGGGCCTTGTGAAGGTCTTGAGCAATGAAGACGCGTTTGAGAGAATCAGGAAATATCATCAATTGCCCTTCAGACATTCAGGACCAGGACCCCAAAACAGTCTGGATCCAGTTTAAACCTGAGGTCTGTTGAACACCACGAGGATCACTTCAACGGCCTTCTGCCACCCTCTCAAATGCTGCACAATGCCTCTTCAATCATTGTCCTCCTGGCATCGCTTGACTCTCCACCTTTCAGGGCTTCGAACGGTCCACTCGGATCGCTGGGTGAGGCACAGTCTCCTTGTCTGCTGGGCTGGGCTGAGGAACGTCCCGTCTTCATCGATGATCTTCACCCGATCGATCCCTCCCATCTGCGTCGGGTTCGCGACGCGAACGGCCACCTGTGTCGATGTGATGTAGATGTATGTCCTCAAGCAGTTTGGTGTGAAGCACATGATGTCCCTGTGGACCAAATGTCCCTAGTGTCAAGCTGTTGATTGGCTTCAACCGACTGCAAGAGGAAACGGACGGGAGAAGTCACAGTGTCTCCCAGAGCAACCTTTAACTTTATATGGTTCACGTTCAATGCGTTGTCTTCCTCCGAGAAGGTGCAATGTATACTCAGCGATCAACTTGGTCTTCTTGTTGATCGCTGCCTGAAGAAGCCTCGCAACGCCATCCAATCTCACTGGAGCAAATCCAGGTCGCTCTTGGAGCCGCCTCAAGCTCAGCCATTTCCATTCACTGGTTGGTCCATTTCTGCCCAAGGAACACGACCCTACTCATCCACCGACGAATATCCCAGAGAAAGCAATACCGTAAATATCCATGAAACTATCTTCATCCAGTCAAGCCAGTGCTTTGAAGCTGGTCTTCTGGAGGATTCATCCTCCCAAAAAAGACCCAAGCTTCCTTCCGACTCCAAATCAAACCGATGGCCTTCATGCCTCCGGAAGAACCAATCGCCGTCACAACGGACGACTCCTCCACCGTCCGGACCCATCACCCGGACCAAGAGTGTGTTCCCCATCCAACCCGCCGATGTCGGGCACCTGCAGGTGGCTAAGATGTTGGGCACCGGTCCCTGCGAACGTCGACGAGGTCCGAACCGGAACACCGTCTCACGACGCTTCCGGACACGGCGGCGCGGTGCGGCGCGGTGCGGACGGTGGATCTCAAGGAAGTCTGGTTTCTCTGATCTTTTTGGGGGCAGGGGCTTCCCTTCGTTTCATATGCCGTGTGCTTTTTTGGAGTGGAGAGGTGCATTGAAGGCTGGTGGCGTGACCAAGGGGGATTCTTTGAACAAACATGTTCATTGTATTTCATGGTCAAGAGAAGGGTGGAGGTGAACCTCAATGAACCAAGCCCTAATTGGATCCAACCAATCAATCTCCAAGCTAGATGGCACTCGCTCATGAACAAATGCCACTGCTTTAAAGAAATCATTTCCCACTGTGACACACTCACCTGGACGCATGCCGCCAGGCGTTGACCCCCTGTGGTCCATCCTACCACTGTGCCCCCATCAACACCAGTGTGCAAGGGCCTTGCCAAGCAGGGGTCGAAAATAGAAAACTTCAAACATTTTTCCCGTTTAGCTACTCACCAATCAACACTTGGGTTGACATGGCTTGAGTATGTTTAGTAATCAAAACTCATTTGCAATGCTAAATCATGCTTAATGCCACAGACATAGCTAGCATCCCCAGCAGCACCAACCAACCGCGCTGTTTTCCGGACCCCGACCAACCGCAACAACAGCTAGTGTAGTCCACCTTGTTTCAGAAGCGCCACCCGAAACTCACCCACTGGTTCGCCACTCGAAAACCGCTGATTGGAGAGGCACCTATGGGCCGATCCGCCTCGCCTCGCCCTCTCGGCCCCGTCTTCTGCGCGTTCTGCGCCCGGTGAAGCGGGTCGGGTAGACGAAACGGTCGCGAGCGCCCGGAAAGGGCCCGCCTCGCGGAGCTTCTGCAGCAAGGGCACCGGAGGCACCTCCCCTGGCGGTGGGTCATGGCACCCTTGACCGAAAATGAACAGAAGCTCCCAACGGGACGGGAGGTCAACCTACACTTTGAGGGCTCCGGGTTTCATCCAAAGGCGCCAGAGGAGCAATGCCCATGACCAACTTTTCACGAATTGGTCGGCAATCCCAACCGCGTTTTGTTCGGCGTGGTCTCGGCGTGGTGTGGTTCTCGCCCAGGGGATTCACCGGGAAGCACCCTGAAAAAAAAGGGGCTCCCAAGATGCTACCCAGGTGGGGTTTGGAGGTGAACACCCAGTGATTTCTGGACCTTCAACAGCTAGCAGGGCTAGGTCAAGCTACTTCTTGCTCCAATCTAGATCATGGTGCTATTCACAGCAACTTAGAGACACATCTTCCTATCAGCTGATCTTCCCAGGTCGGCGGCATCCGGTGTTCCCAGGTCTGTGGATTCACGCCGACGTTCGTTCTATCGAAGAGCTGTGAGCTGTTGGGTGTAGCCGCCCCTGACCAGGGCCCAGTGGATGATGGTGATGATTAGTCAAGGCCTTCGTCTGAAACAATGAGAATAAAATTTACCGGGACACCCCCAACAAAGCTGCTGTTTTGTGTGGCTCAACGATGGGGCAAATCCATCGAAAGCTCTTGGGTGAAAGGAACCTATATACATCGAACCACAGCTTCACTGCATTACGCCGTCACATCGTCACTTTCTGAGCTTCTCCTGATGGGCTCCTCATTCCGTGAAGGACTCCCCGTCTGGAAACCCGACAAAATCTTCGCAGAATCACCTCAAACACGCCCCGAAGGCACCATCAGACCTGAAGCTGTCTATAGATTTCTGCCCTGGAAACCCAAACAACCAGAAACAAACGGTTGTTCCAATATGGCAATTGAAATCCTTTACATAGGAAATGGCTGTTTGGGGAAACATCCATTTGTTTCTGGTTGTTTGGTTTCCCAGGTGGGATGGATGGAATTCTCACCAGGCAGTCTGATGTGGCCACGCTCATCTTTTGGCCACCGGAGTCTTCAAATCGCGCATCTTCGCCATCCAGTTCGGCAGAACGTGTGCCGCTGTGGGCTTCATCCAGCTCATAGACCTCATCCGGCGCATAGAAAACACAGACAAACACACAGGGCTCTTGAACCTAGCACCTCTCGCTTTCTACAAATAACATCTGATGTGGTTGTAGTTGAGACTTTATTGTAGTCTTGCACAAAGCTGACAGTAGTATTGGACTTGTTTCTGAAAGGGGCCGAACGGTTTGTCCCCCCAGTGAGGCCGCTCGTGTTCGAAAAAACGCCAGCTGCTCAGCATCTCCCGAGGGAGTGCTGTGTGCCGAAGTTCGGTCGACGCCTGGTTCTAGGGTTTAGGGTCTAAACCCTCTGCCTTCGAGGGTTTTGGGGCCTTTTGGGGTTCTACAACATCTACCAGCGATTTAACCAGTGGCCGAAGCAAAATGACAGAAATGGCCAGGAGTCACATGGAGGGCCTGGGTGGTTGGCTTCGTCCCATTCCAGGGGCCGTGGCTGTCCTGGACGACACGCCTATCCTAGTTAGGCACCCCGTCTTGTGACTCCTGCTAATAAACTCTTTCCATGGAGACCAGACTGACATACGTCCACCGTCGTAGACCGAAGACACCGCGGGAAGCCGAGACGACGGTACGGATCCGGTATGGCTGTGGGTCCAAACCGGGGCACCATGGCAGGCCAACTCCTCAAGACGAAGAGATCCCGATGTCAAAAACGGGATCCAGTCAATGGCACTGGCCAATAACAATGCCAAACACATCACCGGACCTGAGGTTCGGTACGACTGGATCCCCAGGGTTGAAAAAAACGGGATGGCAACCGAGCTCCCATGCGGCCTCGGTGGGGGGAGGTGCCATGACGAAACCCGCCAAAGGTGGTCGGACATCCGAAGACAGCTCTGGTGGTGCCCCCCACATTGGGTACCAAGTCTTGAGACATGACAAAAGCAAACGATGCAAATGAATACCATAGAGACCAAGATGTGGACCAGATGTGGTATACCTATATGAGACTCGACATGACATGACCACATCTGAATACATCGTTTGGCAATTCTTCTTTGCAATATACTTACAAGTCGCGTGAAACTACACAATGTGACACAATGGTTGTTCAAAGGCTATGAAAAAAGATAACATCGTTGATGGAATCCAACAAAACATTCGCTCTCCTTCAGCATCAGCTCCCTAGGATTAATCTTGGATAGTCTCTTCAACCTGACGTATTCTTACACATGTCTATCACATTGTCACATGGTTTTCATCAGTTTGACTGTCTCGCCTTCGATGGTCTGTGACCGCAAGCAATTATTGCTATTTGCTTCACCAACACCTACACAAAGGCTACTACTGCCCTTGTGGTGGTCATCTGGATTGATTGGAAGCCCAACCTGACAAACCCAGCCCGGAACACCTAGAAAACCTGACTGAGCATTTGGCAGCATTTCTGTCCCTTCTGCGGCATCTGGAAGGCCTGGTCCTGTGCTGGATGTTAAAGAGTGGCGTTCGACTCATCTCGGTTCCCACAACTTAACTCATAAAATGACGGAACGACCCAAAGAAATCTGATCTGATGACGGCCTGGAGAAGGAGAGATCCAAGAAATTCCGGGTATTGCAAGAAGAGATGCTATATTGCTACAAACCGAACTTCAAACAATTACAAGCGTCTGCAAAAAAAAAACTATCAGAAATTCACAGATCTTCGCATATCCCGATGTTGGGGGACATGTTCTTGGCTTTGGATCTTGGAGGATTCATTAGTGGATGCCGGATCGAATCTCAAGGAAGGTTTTTCACACCCAAACACGACCGACGGGACTGGTATATTTACCGATCAATTGGGGTGGTGCCAGAGGGGTCAATGGGTCGGCATATATGACAGACATGGAGTGTTTGGGATATGGACTTCCGGAACACTTCTTTCGCCAAAGCTCTACAGCTTGCTAGGTCCAGGGGCCAGGTCTATGGGCAAGAACGTGGCCCTCCAATCAATGGTTTGCTTCACCGTTGCCCACACGGGGTAAAACGGCAGGATACGTGGCGGATCATGTCTCAGGAGCCTGGTAGAGTTGAAAAGCACGAAGGGAACCGAAGACCAGGGCTGCTCCAAGGCAGGCATAAACCTCAGCGTGTGGAGAACCGCGCTCGCGCTCGCCCCGCTTCATCGACTACACCCAGTGTCATCAGCCACATGTTGCAGATGCGGTCATACCGTCTCCATCCATGTTCACACTGATCAGACATGCAAATAACACAAGGTGTTTCATCCTTTTTGTTGCAAGATCTGGATGTCAGTCTGTGACAACACCCATACGTTCGAATAGGGAGACACCTCCCAGAGTTCAACCCCCTGGAACACTACCACAACCCATTGGTGGACGCTTTCCCTATTAAAACATATAGATTACAAACCCATACTGGTCCAGATCTGTCTATGACCCGCTGGCCATGTCCGATGATCCGACCAATGGCCGAAACCGATGGTCCGAGATCTCGCAGGTCCGAGTGGCGTTCAGAATGCCCAGCTGCACTCCCAAGAAGACCACCACAGTAGTTCCAGCCTCGGGAACTAGCTGTGAAAAAAAGAACCACCAGAGCCGAGAAGCCACCTCCGTGAGTGAAGACTCATGAATCAAAGCTCTCAACGTCTACTCGAAAGGACCGAAAAAACTCTCAGGACCAAAAGAGTCTTTTCAACCAAAATTGACTTCCTTCTGCCACAAGTGCCTTGGCTAGTAGTAACAGGTGCCTTACTAGTAAGAAGAGGCTATTAGAAACAAGTGCCATACTACTAGTAACAATTAGAATTAAATTAAAATTACATTCATTTGGGAAGAAACAGAAATGTGAACAACATCCACACTGGACAAACCGGCATCTGGGTGGAAGATCCATCGGATGGGGGCGGATCTGGAGACAGAACGGGGGACAAGAAGGTCGAGACTTGAAAATCCCCACGTGGTTGAGACGCTGGTGGCTGCTGGCGTGGTTGGTGCCTGCTGTGCTTGGTGGAACTCTCCAAGCGAGTCAACGATGGGCGTTTCTTGTTGGGGTCCCTTAAGATTGGTCATCGAACCGAAAGGTGCCTAACAATTGTTTTAATGGGATTCTGAAAAACCAAGCAGTTCTTCACCTCCTGTGAAACCATCACTCGGAATGTCACGAAGAAATCATCCTCCAAAACCGGAAACAGATCACGACTCAATCCCAGCCGCCCCCCATCTGCGTGCGGCCTGGATGAGGACAGACGTGGACAAACGGTGATGAACACATTACGGCTTGCCAATGACATGTAATGACGAAAAACCTCGAATCCGGGTTCCTTCTCGGTGGTCAGATGATATCTATCTCTGAAGACAAAGAAAAACACCCCAGAGCAAGTCGCTCTCCCTGCTCCTTTTTGTTGGATATGTCTCCCATCCCCTTGCTTCGCTCCCCCAGTGCGAAAAAAGACGTCTGGACGCCGAGAGGCGCACAGCATGACGATTTGAGTGCGTTTCTCCTGGGCGGCGCTGGAGATCCACGTACTCGTGGAACGTGTGCAACGTACGACGGGTACGAGTAACAGCTATGTGACAGTCGATCGGGGACGGCGGGTTGTAACAGTATGGACCCGTACGACTGTTTCTTGATGACGATTTACTATTTGTGGACCGTTGTTGGGGGGTGGGGCTTAATCATTAATCCCGGATATAGCTCCCTTGAGTCCCATTGTGGCGATGGGGTAAACACCCCTGGTATTTTCTGGCGATGAGTAGCCAAACCGAAGGGGCACTGAAGCCACTGGGGGGGATCATTTCAGCTGTCCTTCTGTGGTCGTCCACAGTTCAATGGATGTTGATACTATTCAATGACCACTCACGCCTTCCGTCACCAGACTTGACGGTGTCCCAAAAATACATCTCTCCGTCATCAGACTGGAGAGAATTCCCGTGGAGGGCAACGGTTGGAGTGGGTCAAAAACCTGATTCTCCAAC